GTATTTCAATGTCTGGACTGTAGTTGATATCCAATCACTATTTTTTGAATAATGGCAGTTGGCTGGATTTTAATTACAGGAACAAAGGTCTAGGTGGGAACATAAAATTAAAAGGAAAGATTCCCCATTGACATTAAAGTCAAGAGTATGTTCAGAGCACTTTTGTCCAGAGTATTTTGATGAATACTTTGAGGTCAAACTGAAGGATGGCACAATTAGTAGAATTCCTCGAGATAGGGCTAGGCTTAAATCTGCCGATGTGGATCCGACAATCTTCAAGGATTATCCTATTTATCTTCAAGAAAACAGAACCTCAAGGAAGCCTCCCACAAAACGCCAAACACCAAAAAAAAGAAATGTGATAGTTTGCCAACAGCAGCTTGAGGAAAGTCAGGCCAAAGATGACACAACTGTCCATGAATACATTCAACCATTCAACATTCAACCAGAAAACTCTGAAAATGTCAACATCAATGACAGTGAACAACTTCCTGAACTCCCAGCAAAACCTGGACCTAAATGGTCATGCCTTGATGTGAAGAGTCTTGTTTTGCCAGAGGGCTGGGTAGTATGCAACACTCTAAATGAAAAGGAGAAAAGGGTGGTATACATTAATGACAAGATGGTAATTGAAAAAACTTTGACATTTACTGACAATAATTTTCCAACAATAAGTATTGAAGATAAAGAGTATGAGTATGTACCCCGTCCTGCTGAGCTAAATTTGGAACAGGCTCAAAAGATTTTGAATAAAGTGCATACTTTGAGAGTTTGCTCAGGCACCGGAAACCAAAACAAAAAATTCAGTGTTGTATGTCAGGCCGGCATTGAGAAAGGGAAGAGATGCAAGGAGTGTCGAGCAGAAATTGAAAGGCTTAGGAAAATGGAGGCTAGGAGAGCTAAATTGAGAGAAAGGCAGAAGGTAAAAGCAGCAAAGCACAAGCAAAGGAAGCAAACCCTCAAAAGGTCAAAACTCAATCTTCTCAGAAAGGTAACATTATTGAATTAAATTTTTCTAAAAGTTTTTTGGCAAGACACTACGGTCATATTTATTTTATGTTTCAGGTTCAACAGTATAAAAGACAAGTAGAGTTAGCTATAAAGGAGTGCGAAAAAAAGGCAGAAGAAGTTATAGATGCAGCAATAGCACTCCTGCCTAAACCTCAGCAAGAGGCTGTGAAAGCTTGCTTCCAGGCAGCAAAACGGAAAGGGCCATCAGGGATTCGATACACTGCAGAATGGGTGTACGAATGCCTCCTTATGAGGATAAAAGATAAAAAACTGTTTAATCACATAAGGCAGCACAAAATTTTGCCCTTGCCATGCAATTCTACTATGAATGGGTACCTCAAAAATTACTCGGGAGGATACGGGTTTCAAATTCAAACTCTGGAAATGATGAAGATAAAAGCATCGGATATGAAGGAAATAGATAAACACGGTAAGTAAATTTTGAATTATCAAAAAATTTATAAATAATTATAATACCAGAAAGGTTTAACATAATTACATCTTTTACAGGTGTCATTCTTGTTGATGAGATGAAACTTATTGAGGGAGTCCACTTTGACAGTTCAATGTTGAGGTATGGTGGCTTAGTTGACATGGGAGAAGAAAACACGGACAGCCTTGGAGAGAGTTTTGCAGAAGCTGTGACAGCTGCAAGGAAAAAGCTTCCTCAAGACCCCAATCAGCAAGCAAAAGTAAAACGGAGAGAAAAAGCAAATGAACAGAGACAAAATAAAAGGGATAAAAACTTGGGGGATCATGCACTTGTCATAACATTCCAACCATTTAAAGGAAAGTGGGTTCAAGCTATTGGTGCCTTTCTCACCAGAAGCAATGCAACCGACGATCAACTGACAAAGCTTGTGCTTGAAGCTGTCATTCTTCTAGAGAGGAGTGGATACTATGTTGATGGAGTTGTGACTGACGGTGCAAAATGGAATCGTGGCATGTGGACGAAGTTTGGTATAGACAGGGATAATCCAAGCTCTGAACACCCATGCGACAGTGACAGAAGATTATGGTTTCTGTCAGATTTCCCACATCTTGTAAAATGCATGAGAAACTGCTTCTGCGGAAAGAAGGTGTTGAATGTAAGTAATACGTTAATTCTTTAATATTTCCAACATACTTGAATTTAAATGATTGAAAGTGCTTTAACACTTACCTTGCAATGATTCTTGACAGACTCCAAATGGTCAAATTAAATGGCAGCACTGGAAAGCAGTTCTGCGAGCTGATACCATCCGCCAAGTTGGACTTCGAGAATGCCCCAAACTAACTGAGGACCATCTCAACCCCAATCCATGGCAAAAGATGAACGTTAAGATGGCCTGGCAGGTACCTACAAATCAAATAAAACTCAGTCAAAATATAATGATACATTTAAAACCTTGCTTTCCACTTCTTTCAGTTTTGGAGTTCATCAGTGGCAGCAGCAATGCACAGTTTCAAATTCCAAGGCTCTGATGAACTGGATGACTGTGAGGAGTCCGCTAAATTTTGTTTGCTTGTCAACAATTTAGCTGATGCCATGAATTCAAACAGACCCCAAAATGCAATGACATTAAATTCTGCTCACACCAAAGTAAGCAATCTATTCATCAACCTGAATAATTTTTGATTGGGTTTGGTATATAATATAAAATGATTTCTAAATAAAATCATGTTGCAGGCTATAGAAGATTTTCTGCTTTACTTTATCTCCCTGAAGGAGTGGTCAGACAAGAAATTAAAAATTAAATTGGTAGCTGGGGAAAAAGCACGGGTTGAAGGATTAAGAAAAGAAGGAAAAAGGCCAAAAGAAAAGACTGAAAAAGAACTAGAACAAGAAGATTTTATTTTTTCTGAGTCAACTGATCATGGTTTAATAGTTACCCTAAAAGGATCACTTCAGTTAGTGAACTACCTGATTAACACTGTAAAATTTAAATATGTCATGACCGCTCGGTTCAACCAAGATGCTTTGGAGGTAAGTGAAATTTTGCAAGCTAACCCATATCCTGCGGCAACTGACATGGTATTCATTCGTTTCTTGTCCTTTTCAGAGGTTTTTTGGTCTAGTTAGACAGTCGTGTGGGGGTAATACTCACCCTGAACCTCGTGTCTTTGCTCAGCTCTTTCGACTGCTCTCTATTTATTCCCTGGTGAAGCCCCCTAAAGGCAGCAATATTACTGGTGGGGACATGGTTACAAGTCTTCTGAATATACAGGACCTGAAAACAAAAAGAGTTGAGGAAAGAAGGAAGGCGCTTTCTGACAAACTGGATGAAATAATAAATTTGGGTAAATTTTTACTTCATGCATCACACCAGTCACATTGAAATAATATAATTCAATACTAATTGTGTATTTTTATTTTTCTAGGAGAAGATCTTGATGATATTCCTGAGATAATGGAGCATGTTGATCATGACTATTTATGTGAGGGAGTGGATGAGTTCGCCCTTAGTTATATTGGAGGATATGTAGCAAGACACTCCACAAAATATGCAAGAAAAGACTGTGAATTCTGTCAAAAGTGCTTGAAAAAGACATCTCAAGAACATACAGATGTTGACATGCTGATCACTCTTAAGAGTAAAGGCTGGCTGACGTATGCTGCTGATAGCCTGATTAAGCTTTTGCGCTGTTTGGAGAACACCGTAGTCAGAGGCAGCTTGCACAATGAAATGGAGGAGAATCTACTATTTGTCATTCTTGCCAAGTTGGAGAATGTAGCAGTACCTAAAATTGGATGCCATGCACATGAAAATGAACTCACCAAATCTGTGATGAAGTTTTATTTGATCATGAGAATGCACTTCCTTGCAAAACGGTGGAATGAGAAGACCCAACACCTAAAAAAGAAGCACAAAGGATATAGGAAGTCGGCTCACCTCACATGATAAACTCTTGACTTATTTTAAGTAAATGTGTCAGCACATTTTTTTAATTCAAATGTGTATTTTATCTCTTTAACGCCATTGTAAATATTGTTTTTAAATGATAAACTGTTAACTGTACTGGTGCTCAAAACACCACAAGCATCATATATTCTGTATGATTTGGAAGTGATCTGTGAAATATTTGCATATATTTACCATAAGGATCATAATTGAGCTACCATTTTCTTATAGTATCGTGTTGACAGTTTTAGTCTTTGTTCCAAAGAATAAACATGTTTCATTTTCATGTTTCTTATCATAGTACATTTTTATATTTTATTATCAGAATGCTCAATCAAATGTTATAAAATTATTTTACTGAATAAAATATTTTCTCTTACCATTGTGTCCTGTAACCACACCATGCCACAACCAAAACCAAATTAAAATTAACGGAACGAACGAACAAACAACTGGGGACGGAGTGCCGGCGGGAGATGGTTTCTCGGTCGTAGCTCCTAGGCCGTTGAAGTTAGGGGGGTGTACTAAGCGAGGCGATTGTAGCTTAGACTGAGACCTACAATCGCCTCGCTTACACTACCCCTTTTATTTGAACGGTTTAGGACTTAAAGCCGAAAAACAGTCCCCGGCCCATGCTTCACAGTGGCCAGCAGAGGCGCCCAGCGGCCGGGGCAGAGCCATAACGACGCGAGCGCCGCGCGGTGGCGAGCGGGGCAAGCTCCAACTGCCGCCGCGAAAGGTAGTTCGCCAGCCCTATGCCGCTGGGCCAGAGCCGGTGCTCCATACCATCTTGCTCCGTGACGCTGCCCGCCGTGCCGCCATCCAGGACGGCCAGGAGGACATCCCATCCCGCCTCGCGCGTCGCTCGTCGCTCGCGCTCCATGTTCAGGCTGCCCCCACCCCGCGGCTCGGCTCTCGGCGCCGATGCCGGCCCCGCTGCCGCGGGGCTGCGCGCTGCGTGGCGCTGCGCTGGCAGTGGCGTGCCGGGCGATGCCGGTGGAGGGGATGGGGGGAGGGGCTTGCAGGCACGGGGTGGGGGCGGCGGGGTCGGGCGGCGCGCGGGGCGGGGCAGACGGCCAAGCCGAGACTGCGTCGCCGCTCGTTGGATGGCTGGATGGCCGACGGATGCTCCTGCTCCGCTGTGCTCCGCTGCTCAGCGCCCAGCTCAGTCCCCAACGCGACCCCGAGGCGAGTGCGGGCGAGACGCGAGTGCAGGCGGCAGGATCAACAGGCGAGTCTCAGCCCTGCGCCCCGCGTGCACCGCGTGCTGGACCGACGAGCCGCGTGACCGTGCGTGCAGTGACAGTGACCGTGATCTCGAGCACGGCGTCGACGGCGTCGACCGCCCCCGCGAGCGCCGCGCCGAGTGCCGCGCCGGGACTACCCGCCAGCACGGAGGCCTTCCTGCTCCGGTTCGGGGGCTCGCCGCCCCTGGCGCCCCACCACCACCTCCACCATCGGCCCTACGAGGACGGCCTGGACGGCCCGGAGCTGCCCGACAACGACCCGGAGCCCTCGCCGGAGGACTTCAGTCCCGGAGACCAGCGTCGCCTGCAGCTGCGGCGCGCCTCCGACAGCAGCTGTGGCAGCGCGGGCTACCCCGGCCAGGGCCACGACATCGCGCGCGACATGGTGGAGACGGTGACCGCGCACATGCACCAGCCCGCGGGCAGGTCGCCCTCACCGCCCGCGTCCGCCACCTCGGCCAGCCCGTCCAGCTCGCCCGCCCGGAGTCCGTCCACCAGCCCGCGCGCCATGCCCCCCGCCTACACCCGCCTCCACCTGCCCCTGTACTACAACAACAACCTCGAGCTGAAGCAGACGACGTCGCCGACGTCGGCGGCCTCGTCTCTCTTCACCATCGACAGCATCCTGGCCCCGCGGCCCGCCGTCAGCTCGGCCAGCGCCACGCCAACCAGGTGCGTCGCCGGCCTCTGGCCTCTGGCCTCTATGCGCCTTGCCGCGCCTTGCCGCGGTCGCGAGGACCTCGCTGCGCACGTAGTCCTCACGGCCAGACAGGGTGGACAGGCCCCACGGTGTAGCACGGTGTTGCTGCCGTGTAAGTTGCGGATTAGCGGGATTTATTTGCAACCCATTTACCTTGCTAATGGCGGCGTCACCGCGCCGCGGGCTTCGCCATGCCACTTTTTGTCTAGTCGTTATTCGACTAGGGCCCCGAGGCCCTGCAGACTGATTCCGAGAGTCGTTTTCGTCGCTCTGTCTCTCTCGCACCCATACACGACGCCCCATCAGTGCGAGAGAGGCAGAGCGACGAAAACGACTCTCGGAATCAGTCTGCAGGGCCTCGGGGCCCTAGTCGAATAACGACTAGACGACAAGTTGGGTGACTTGATTAGCGACCGGACAGCGCACCTCTGACGCGCACAGTGTCAAACGGAATCGGCCCAACACCCATTCAAATGCATTGTAATCGGCCAGCCAATCCGGTTAAAGTGCACGCGAATGCAACACTTCGGCTTTTCGCGGAATCGAATACACAGTGTTGCGAGGGCCTTCCCGGCCGAGCGATCAGCATATCGGAGTACTAGCTCGGTGACCGGCAATGTCGCCGCCCGCTGCCCGTGCTCGTCCTGTAGACCGATTCGTTTCCGTCGCTCTGTCTCTCTCGCACTCATGGGCGCCCCGTGTGGGTGCGAGAGAGACAGAGCGTCAGTCCGCTTTGCTCTTCCTTGCAGGATGTCCGGACCGGCCGCCGCGGCCATCCTGCGGCACCCCATCCACCTCGGACACCTCGCCGCGGCCGCCGCCACCGGCTTCGGCGCCACCCCCGCCGACTTCCTGGGTAAGCCTCTACTCGCCAGCGCACCGACTCCGACAGTCTCCCTCGCACCTCTACGGGACGCCCCATGAGTGCGAGAGAGACGCAGGGCGACGAAAACGACTCTCGGAATGAGTCTGCCGGCCGCCAAATGGCCCACTTCTTGCCTTCTTTCTTCCCGCAATGACCCTCGGCTGGGCGGTGTTGCTCGCCAGCTTGTCGCACTTGCGGGGCTGCCGTGGCTGCCGGGGCTGCGTGCGCCGAGGTGCGCCGTGCGCTGCAGCGGCCCCGTCGAGCCGTCAAGGCTGGCCAAGGCCACCGCTAATGCCCAAAGCGGCCCGCGACGACGCGGTGGTCAGTCACTGCGGACGCAGAGCCGAGCACACACTGCAAACTCAAATTTGCGTTTTATTTACTTCAAGTAGCGATTATGCAATTGCGTTTTACAGCTCCGCGCGTCGCCCTCCGAGCGTGTGACCCCCACCAATGGAATCCTCGTTCAGAGGGCAATCCTTTGGTGGGGTCACACGATCGGTTCAAGTCCCATTTAGCGCGCAAAAACGCTTCCGGAATTTCGACCACCTCCACCGGTCTTCCGGCCCACTGTGCGGGAGTGGAGAAAGGGTTACTACATCGCCAAGCGATCGAGCTATTTTTCAGCTCGCTAAGTACATTATAGCCGATATTTCGTTTGCATTATTCTGGCCGGGGGCGGGGCGCCTTGTGCCGTGCCTTGTGGCCGGCGCGGTGCGGCGCGGGGCTCGGCCGCCCCGCCGACGCGGAGGTGCGCGCCTCGGGGAGTTCTCCGGAGCGCCGCCGCCGCCCTCATAAAAAATATCTGCGGCGTTCCGAACTGAGCTGGGAAAGAAAACAATCGGTTTTACTTTATTCATTATGCAGTATTATTCCTCCACTCCTCCCGCCGGCCGCGGCTCCGCGGCTCGCTGCGGATGGCCGACGATTTGAGTCGTCTCGGCGAATTGTGCGTCCCGCCTCGGCCCGCCTCCTCGCCGTTCGCGGCTTGGCGGCGGTCCGCGCCGTTCCGTCGCACTCGCCCTCCCCCGCGCCGCCAACTTGAGGCGCGCTGCCCAAACTTTTTCTCGGAACCGCGACTCGCGTTTGCATGCAAACGTTCTTCGGGCCTTTTCGTATTCCTTCTTTAGTATTTTTTACGGGCTTGTTTCGAAACGTCGCTGTTCTCCGAAGACGGATCCGCGCCGTCGCGTGGTCCAATGGGTGAGAGAGAATGACGCCTCACAGTGGGCCAGAAGCCGGTGGAGGCGGCCAAAACTCTAGACGCGTTTTGAGCTCCAGAGTCGCTAAATGGGACTCGAACCGAACGTGTGACCCCACCAATGGATTGCTCTCCGGACGAGGAATCGATTGGTGAGGTCACACGTTCGGTTCGAGTCCCATTTAGCGACTCTGGAGCTCAAAACGCGTCTAGAGTTTTGGCCGCCTCCACCGGCTTCTGGCCCACTGTGCGCCTACGAAAATCGATTCTCGTTAACACAGTAAACAATTGCCTTTTCCCTGCCGCTCTACTTTCGGCGCGTTTGAGTTGTGTTTTGTTCTCTCTGGAGACAACCGAAAGCCACGAAAGCTGCTTTCCTGAGTCGCAAGGCGGATTGCGGCGCCGCGACGCAACGAAGCGAACGGACATGCAGAGTGACGGAACGCCGCGCCCAGCAAATGCATTAGCGCCCCCCACCCCGAAAAAAAAATAAAAAAATGAAACACTTTTTAACAGACAGTGTGTGACTCTTGGCCCGCTGCGATTTGAAATCCGCTCTTGATGCCTCGGAACGCAAGCGTCTTAGCAGCAAGACAGCCTTGGCGGCCTGGCCATGCCTCGCGGCCTCGCGGTCTGCAGGGAGGACGCTTTGCCGCGCTTTGCCGTTTCGCGCGCAGCCTCACCTTTGTTTTCGGTCCCCCTTTTCCGCCTCAGCATCATCAGCCGAACTAGGCCACTACACAGTGGGCCAGAAGACCGGTGGAGGCGGCTAAAATTATCTAGACGCGTTTTGAGCTCCAGCGTCGCTTAACAGGACTCGAACCGAACGTGTGACCGCATCAATGGATTCCTCGTTCAGAGAGCCATCCATTGGTGGGGTCCCATTAAGCGACTCTGGAGCTCAAAACGCGTCCAGGATTTTGGCCGCCTCCACCGGTCTTCTGGCCCACTGTGCACTGGGACCAAAGTAGCTGTGGAGCGGATCATATGAAGTGGAAAAACGGGTCAGAAATAACGGTTTCTATGAGAAATGTGCGCGGCGCGGATGAGCTCGATACGTCATCCGCAACGTACATTTCTCATAGGATCCGTTTTAGTTCTTCCGGCTCAGACCTTCTTTTGAGTTCTGGCACACCGTTTTGGCGGGAGTTCCTAACCGGTTTTCTTTGTCGACAGCGGTGGCGTACCCCAACCTCTACTCCGGCGCCTACATGTCCCACGTCGCGGCGTCCTTCGCGTCCAGCCCGATGGGCAGCCCGATGGGCAGCCCGCGGCACCCCAGCCAGCACGGCCAGCAGCACCACCTGGTGCACCACCCGCTGGTGGGCCCGCACCTCGGCGGCCACCACAGCCCGCTGAGCGGCCACCCCGCCCTGAGCGCCCACCACGCCCTGGGCGGCCACCACGGCCTCGGCGCCCACCACGGCCTGACGGGCGGCCACCCCGGCGCGCCGCCGCCCAAGAGGAAGCGGAGGCACCGGACCATCTTCACGGAGGAGCAGCTGGAGCACCTGGAGGCCACCTTCGACAAGACGCACTACCCGGACGTGGTGCTGCGCGAGCAGCTCGCCCTCAAGGTCGACCTTAAGGAGGAGCGCGTCGAGGTGAGTGACGCCGGTTCGAACACCCGTCCCACTGTAGATTTGTCTGAAGGCGGAGGCGGCCAAAATCTAGAAGCGTCTTTGAGCTCCAGAGTGTCTGAATGGGACTCGAACCGGATGTGTGACCCCACCAATGGATTGCTCTCCGAACGAGCAATCCATTGGTGGAGTCACACGTTCGGTTCGAGTACTGTTCAGCGACTCTGGAGCTCAAAACGCGTCTGGAGTTTTGACCGCCCCCACCGGTCTTCTGGCCCACTGTGCGGCCAGGCGCCTTCTTTGCGTGTTTGTTCGGTGGCATCGAGCCCCGGGCTGCGTGGGTGATTGAATGTAATAGTGTTTATCGAGGGGAGAAGGAGAGGAAGGGAGCTGAGCGGAGGGAAATCACGAGCGTAGCAGCGAAGGCCCTCAAGTGCCGCAAAGTGCCCGGCCGTGGTGCCGAGCGAGGCGGGGTGCGGCAGTGCGCGGTTTTGCATCCCCGTCGCCTCTAACCAGGACCAGCCGCCACGCCGCGCCGCGCCGGGGAAACTCCAACACCCCCGAAAAAGTAGGAACAATGGTCCCCAGTACCCGGCGAGGCCTTACCCTGTAAGTCAGATTTCTGGCCGGCCGCGGGGAACAGTGGGCCAGAAGACCAGTGGAGGCGGCCAAAACTCCAGACGCGTTTTGAGCTCCAGAGTCGGTAAGCAGGCCTCGAACCGAACGTGTGACCCCACCAATGGACTCCTCGTCCGAAGAGCAATCCATTGGTGGGGTCACACGTTCGGTTCGAGTCCCATTTAACGACTCTGGAGCTCAAAACGCGTCTGGAGTTTTGGCCGCCTCCACCGGCTTCTGGCCCACTGTGCGGGCCGCGCCCCCCGCAGCAGCCCACAAAGAGTGAGTGAGGGGAGGAGAGCTGGGCGTCTTGCTTGTTCAAAGTTCGGGCGGAGGGCAGTGTAGTGGGGCAGCGCGGGGCAGCGCGTTAAATAATTCGTAGATCGGTCTCCCTCCAGCAAAGCGACTCCTCTCAATAAGCGGATAGTCTTGGCCGGCCGGCGCGCAGGTTAGGTTAGGCTGTCGGCGGCGACTCGGCGGACTTTGGGCCCAAAGTAGAGTTTGGGTTCGGGGCGGCAAAAATTCGAGAACAATCTCGCAAGGCGCTATTCAATTAAGACTCTGACCAAGCTGAGAAGTGATCCTCTGAGTGGTCACGCCGCCTTGTGGCCCAGAAAACCGGCGGAGGCGGTCGAAATTCCCGACGGGTTTCGAGCTCCAGAGTCGCTAAATGGGACTCGAACCGAACGCGTGACCCCACCAACGGATTGCTCTCCGAACGAGGAATCCATTGGTGGGGTCCACGGTGTAGAGAGACTCGGTGGCGGCACGGGGCTATCCTTCCCATAGCGCGCGCTGTCCCCCAAATCGGGGACGGATTAGGGCACCCGCCGGCCACCAGTATCGCCACTGTCGCCCGGGGGCCAACTACGACGCTCGGCGCGCGTAGCTGCGGTCGGGGCGGCCGATGCCAGCGGCCGGCCGCCTCGGCTCAGCTTCGCGCGGACGGGCTGCGTATCTCGGCCCGCAACTACGCCGCGCCACGCTCCGATCGGCTCGGCCCTGCTCGGCTCGTCGTTCGGCAAGCGCGCTGCACCGTGCTCGGGTTGACGGTCCCTCCGCGCGAAGCTGACCGGAGGCGGCCGGCCAGCTGCATCGGCCGCCCCGACCGCAGCGTCGCAGTTGGCCCCCGGGTGACGGTGGCGCTTCGCTTGGTGGCCGGCGGGCGCCCTAATCCGTCCCCGTTTTCGGGCCAGCCCAGGCGGGCCCGTGCCGCCACCGAGTCTCTCTACACCGTGGTGGGGTCACACGTTCATTTCGAGTCCCATCTCGCGACTCAGGAGCTCAAAACGCGTCTAGTGTGACCACCCCCACCTGCCTCCTGGCCCTGCGCCGCGGATCCCTGCAGTGGAAGGAAAATGTGCCGCGGCGTCGCGTCGACGCGTTGCCGTTGGCAGCACACCGTCATGGCCGAGCTGGCCGAGCTGGCGGAGCAGCGCCCCAACACGGTGTAGTGGTGACACCCAGCCTATTAGCTTCCGATTAGCCGAGACCAAAGACACCGCTGGGAGGCGCGGGGATAAGCCGGCGACTTCGACGGCCACGACACAGCTAGCTCGCTACCGCGCCGCAGTGTCCTGCCGAGCAGCGATTCGGAAGAGTCGTTTCGTCGCTCTGTCTCTGTCGCACTCGTGGGGCCCTCCATAAGGGTGCGAGGGAGACGGAGCGACGACCCTCTCTCCTGAATGGCCGTGCCGCCGCGGTGGGTGGGCTGCCCGCCAACACCTGCCAACAGCGGCACGGCCTGGGAGGGAGGGAGGGAGGGAGTGAGAGAGAGAGAGAGAGAGAGAGAGAGAGAGAGAGAGAGAGAGAGAGAGAGAGAGAGAGAGAGAGAGGAGAGAGAGAGAGAGAGAGAGAGAGAGAGAGAGAGAGAGTTTAGTTTAGTTTTTAAAATTATTTATTGGGGGGATTTTGTTTTTAACAATTAGGGCCAGGACATGAGTTCAATTTTGTCACAAAATATGCATGCAGTATTATTGTTTTTTTTTTAGTGTTTATGTTGTGCTGCAGTGTTTACATTTTTGTGAGCTTAGATAAAATTTTAGAATTTACAGAGTATGATATTTTTTTTTTTAACTAAGCAATACCGAAATATACATAACATGTTTTAGATAATTTAATAAAAGGAAGAGAAAAGATTTTGATTCTATACAAACAAAAAGACATTTTTGAGAATATGTAAAATTTACAATGACAAGTTAACACTTTAAACATTTTAGAAGATTAAAATTTACTTATTTTTACATCACAGTTTTTGGGAGGATAATAACATTTGATAATTTTGCTATGAAAGAAGGAGCTAACTTATTAATTTATACATCTAGAAAAAACATGAGAGAGAGAGAGAGAGAGAGAGAGAGAGAGAGAGAGAGAGAGAGAGAGAGAGAGAGAGAGAGAGAGAGAGAGAGAGAGAGAGGCCGGCGCACAAAACAGGGATCGCATCGCTTTCGCGTTGCATTGCCTAGTTGTGCGTGAGACGCCGTGAAACGGCAACGGCACCCTTTGGCCGCCTTTGGCGAAAACGGGCGCGCCTCGGCCGCCTCGGACGAACCGGCCCGGGCTTAGCGTTTTGCGGCTTTTGGGAAGATGAATAAGTTGAAGGGGTTGGACGGGTGGGTGGTTCGGGAGAAGGTTATACCACTGTGCACACACGCACGCACGCACGCACACACACTCACACACTCACACACGGACCGTTCTACGTCAACCACTCGAAAGGGATTAGGGGGTTATTTGTCTGTTGTCTGGCTACCGCACAGCGGGACGGGACGGCGGCGGAGGCACTGCCGCAGGGCCGCAGCACAGTGGGCCAGAAGACCGGCGGTGGCGGTCAAAATCCCGGACGCGTTTTGAGCTCCAGAGTCGCCAAATGGAACTCGAATAACCGAACGTGTGACCCCACCAATGGATGGCTCTCCGAACGAGGAATCCATTGGTGGGGTCACACGTCCGGTTCGAGTCCTGTTTAGCGACTCTGGAGCTCAAAACGCGTCTGGGACTTTGGCCCCCTGCGCCCGTCTTCTGACCCACCGTGCGAACGACCTCCGCCACCGCCGCGGCCAGCGCCACCACGATGAGGGCCGCTCGGCACGCCCGGCCGCCGCGACAGGCCGCCAGCCCCACTCCGCCTCGGCTCGCTTCGGCTCGTCCAATGGAGCCAATCTCCGCGCACAATGCGAGGTAATTTGCATGTCGTCTGGAGGAGGAGGAGGAGAAGGGCGCGGCGAAGACCGAAGACCCACAACAGCGCAGAGTATCGCAGCATCCCCTCCGCCGCCTCGTCCTCCCCGCGCGGAGTCGGCGGCGATGCGGCCAGCCTGGCGTGGCAGCACACTGAGAGTCGTTTTCGTCGCTCTGTCTCTCTCGCACTCATCGAGGTGCGAGAGAGACGGAAACGACTCTCGGCATCAGTGTGCGGGGCGTGGCAGCGTGGCAGGGCTCGCCAGGTTTTTCGTTCATCCCCCCGCAGCTCCTCCGCGACGCGGCTCGAGTGCAAATGGGCGTCCACTGCATCATTTCACAGTGCCGTTGCCGCGCCGCGCGCGTTTGGGAACGCATTTGGGTCAGACCCGGGCGCGCACTGCTTTCCTAAACAGGTTAAAAAGTAATGACTGTTGTGACTCCAGGACGGACGGACTCACCTCGCCCCCGCGAGCGGCGCGAGCGCAGATACATATTTATCCACATATTTTAGCACCTGTGTCAACACACGCGGGATGCAAATTATTTCGTCACCACGCTTGCCTGTTTGGCGGCGCCACTGGGTCGCCCCCTCCCCTCCCCTCCCCTCCCCCTCTTCCTGCAGGACGCGACTTTATTCAAACGCGGAAACCCATTCGGGGCGCTATCGGGATATCGAATGAATTCAATGAACGAATTCGATTAGTCGCCGCGGCGGTACGACATTCACATTCACATTCGAGAGCGTGTTTCGCGGCGGTGTACACAGTCAGTCAGTCACTCTCTCTCTCTCTCTCTCTCTCTCTCTCTCTCTCTCTCTCTCTCTCTCTCTCTCTCTCTCTCTCTCTCTCTCTCTCTCTCTCTCTCTCTCTCTCTCTCTCTCTCTCTCTCTCTCTCTCTCTCTCTCTCTCACACACACACACACACACACACACACTCGCACGCACACTCGCACGCACACGCCCTTCCCGCCGCGGTGTGTTTCCGCCCCGCCACTGGCAATGGCGCCACTGTTTTTCCGCTGGTAATAATGTGTTTCAATATGACAAAGTCAACAATCCTGGTGGTCATATCAAAACGCGGCAGCCTGTCTCTCTCGCGCTGGCTGCCTGGCCCACTGCCTGGCCCACTGCCTGGCCCACTGCCTGGCTGGCTGGCGCTGGCTGCCGGGATTGCCACGACTCTGCCGGGACGGCATGTGAGTACACACGTGTGTATAATGCACG